TTCGTCAAAACAACAATTTTCTTGAATTAAAAATAACACAATAATTAGTAATGATCAATAATGAAAACGGTGTGGTCTGATGGTCATCAAATGACCTCTATTCATTGCTCATTTCATCGTCCAAACAAAAACTAAATAATTTCCACTAATGGCTGCCGCCGATTATGTTCATTGTCAAAAACAATACTTTCAATAAGGAACGACATGGAATGGATTCAACGGTCACCATCAACTCGATGAATGGCAAGTATCTGAGTCGCACTTGAACATACCATAACTTTTGGAACTCTTTCAATTGATGGCATCAACTGATTCAGATACTTGTAATTTCTTGGAACAGCTACCCAGCATTCAATTGGATTGGTATTTTGACTTTATAATTTGATTCGGTTTACAACAACTTCATTTCTATTTACATGATACCTCAGTTAGGAATCAGTAAATAATTGATGTGGCAATGAATTTTCAATGTTGGCAGAATAGTCTAAAAAATCATATTGATAGTTTTGATAGTTGTTTTGAATTTGCTTCGAAGACGCAAGTATATTCTTCGGTTTCACTAGTACACTTGTATCTAGTGAGAAAAATTTAGATTAATAGCAGTAAATTGCACATTGAAGAAACACTACCATGATGTCAGAATCAAATGTAATTCACACTATTTCTGAATAAAGCGCATTGAAGATAAAGCATTTTTGTTCCTCTTTTCATTGTATTGACGCATTTAAGGCAATTTTTCGACGTTTAGCGGATCGAAGGCACAATTTTTTTTTTGAAATTGAGTTCCCTTTTGCACATTTTCAACTGCAAAAAAGAATATATAACATCATCATCTGCATTTTGAAACAATGTGCATATATTTTAATATGTAAGGCAAAGTGATATTCACATGTGCACTATTTAAAATGGAAGAATAGACTTCGTACCTTTCAGTGAATAATCGAATTCGGACGAACGATGAAACCTCTTCTGGCGATTTTTTATTTTTCAAGTTTTTTGCTGCATTTAAGCAGCGCTTGTTGCGTAAGAATCCAGTCGACAGAAACACCAATGGACGATATCTATACGTATAGACATGGATGTGTCACCTTAATTGAAAATCAAATTCAAGTTCAATATAAACTGTTCGATATATTGGAAACAACTTCGACTGGCGCCACGTCTAAAGGTAATTTTTTCAAGTTCAATTTGAAGATTTCAACGCAAGAGTGCATCAAAAAAATTCATGCTGAAAATCATCTTTGTTGAAATATTTGCATTAGGAAAGCTATACAGGCCAGATGTATCTGACAATTCAATGAGTTACGATCGTTTGTACGACATAAAAGTGGATTTTTCTAATTTAGTTCAACAAAAGAAAAGTTTAGTTCAAAATGAATACAAAATGCTGAAACAAGTCAGAGGTGGTGTTCGCAAACCGAATGAACATGGGTTTTCGGATGTCATAAGTTACTCGGAAGATGGTAAATTATACGCTACTAGCTATTTTGATACCGGAAATGTGACAAAATATTTCGAACGATGCTTTGTTTTGGTAACACCAAGCGCACGATTGAGATGGAGTCAAATTCTAAAGTTGCATCAAGGTTCTTATGATAAAGTAGAAATTTTGGAGAATTTACTGCAAATGGTCGGTGTACACTGTACATCTCAATTTACTTTTCTCTGTGAAAACAAGAGAAAACGAACGTGTGTGGATGATTTGTGGATGCTTTACAACACGAAAATTCAAATGCTTGGGCCATTGCCATATTTCAATGCTTCAATGGATGAAAACAACAAGTCGAAAGCAGTGAAATTGATGATAAAACGACGCACAAAATACTCCGAGGACCTCATAGTATGAATAAAAATGAGAAATACTTGAGGAAATTCGAAGAGTGAACAATATTTGATTACATTTCGTTACAGAATTATTTCCAACACGTGAATCTAGTCCGATGGAACGAAGTTGGTGATGTGTTTCAACAGTTTGCTGCGTCTTTAAAAATGTTTCATTGTGACTACGACGCAATTATTTCCACTTGTGAAGGAACTCTGAGGAAGTTTCGATTAGATAGAACACCTGCTTCATTTTCATAAAAGTTTTCATTTCCAATGACGCGTTAAATTTGATTTGAAAAAAAAAATCTATCGAGACAGTTTACTAGTAATGTACTCAGCACAAGTTTTAACTTTTACATGATAGTATTCCCATCATTCAAGTTAAAACCAATTTAAATCGAAATTACTATGACTTTTTCACTCAAGTTCTCTTTTCATCAGCAGTCTAAGACTGTCAGTCTTGTTCTCAAAATTCTAACTTTGTGTGCCCATTCGTGTGGATTGCGTGGATTAAAAAAGATATTAGGCACATATTTTAATCTAAAGGAAAAGTTTTCCTTTTTATTCATAGTCTCGAGAAAATAATGAATGAAATTAAAGTCAAGAAAATCATTTATTCTATTTCAAACAGATATTGTGTAATACCTAACACTTCAAAGGACTTTGAACAGTTAGCCCAACTAAGAAAATAATAAAATTGTCTTAACAACTAAGAAAAGATAATACGAAATTGAATTTAGTTTGAATCGGATTCGGTTCGGAGAAGAAGTTGATTTTGTTTTTATCTTGCTTTGTCAGGTGAACCGAAGGCAATTTTTTTCAAAGATTTTAAGAATTCACCATAAAGAAATACCTATAGTTAATTGTTTGAAAACTCAGCAGTTTGGTCACAAAAAAACGCCTCCATAAATTGTGTAGAAAATCATGCAAAAAATGAAACCATTGGTTACAAATCGGCGAGTGTTGACGTGGTTATGTGTTTATCCCGCTGAAAACACGACCTCCAAATTGAAACAATTGGCTTATATCACCATTAGTTTTATCGTCTTTTTGGGCATTTTGAGCAGCTTGATTGCGAGCGTAGCATTCTTCAAGAAATATGTTTCAACCGAATTAGAAGAGGCATTGTATGCTGTGTCTCAAATTGCAGCAGCATCGAGTATTTTATATAGCATTGTGATGACATACTTTTCACGCCGAGGAATCACGACAATTTTTCAACAACTAACCGAAATCTACGATAAAAGTTAGATAATAATCGATTTCAGTTTTGATGAATGGAATTTTGAGAGCAACAAACAAAATTTCTCTCTTTAGATCAAAACGATGAAGCATTCATAGCCGCGGCAAACAATCGGAGTGAATGGATGTGGCATATGTATCTCAAATTTGGAATGGGAGGTTTTCTTGTTGTTGTACCAACGATGTCCATCGTTTCATTGCTCTTTTGTTATAAAATGAGAGGACAGTTTGATACCAATTTTGTTTATCATCCAAATAAATTTACGTGCGTAAATTGCCGATTATTTATTTTTAGATCCGATTTTTTTGGAAAATTTATTGCGCATACTATTTGTAATAGATTGCCATGGAATCAAGAGACTCCGCTTGGATATTTTGGTGAAATCTGTATCTCGATGATTTGCATGGAAGCGTATTTGATTGATAATGGTGCACTACTTTTGTTGTTCATATCAATGTGTTTGCATCACCAGGCATTCTACAGAATATTTCAAAAGTCGTTAGAACAATTGGATCGTCGCGATAAAAATCGAAATGATAAGGAACATATTTGTGACTTGATTCGATTTTACATTTCGGTTAAAGAGTGAGTTTGAAGAAATGGTGTAGTTACTACACTGTAGTATTTTACATATTAAGATTGTGTGATTGCGTGATACAATTTGTGTCTTCTTTTAAAGATGGTTTTTGGAATCAGCAAAGGTGTACAGCCACATTGTCTTGATTCAATTGGTATGCAGCATGCTGTTCTTGGCTTGTATCCTTTTTCAACTGGATCTGGTAATTATTTCACCTATTCATTAAATTGTTTTTTTTTTTTCAACAAAAACTAGCAGCAATATTCAATGAGAAGCAAATAAAAGCGTCAAGTTACATTCGTATATCATGAAAAGCGTGAATGAAATTTGTCAACTTTTTTCGCCACCAAAATGAACGTATGAAAATGAAGACTTTTTTCATTATATTTTAGCAAATGAAGCATATCGACAAAAATGTGTTGACCATTTTAGCCGCAACAACGGTCAGTTCGTCGAATTTGTTCATTTATTGTTATTTTGGTAAATTGGCCACGGAAAGTTATGAAAAAATGGGTGATTGTTTGTATGAGATAAACTGGTGGGAATTGCCAGTCGGATTGCAAAAATATTTTCTTCTCATGAATGTTAATATGCAGAGACATTTGTTTTATCATGGCTTTGAAATGGCTGTTTTAAACTTGGAGACATTCAGTAAAGTAAGTTAAATAGAGAAAAAGAAAAGCCAACCTTTAGACCAGATGTTTCTCTATGTTGATTCACTTTATTTCTAGCTTATCAAGAAGGTGGTGTCATACTATATGCTGTTTAAGTCCATAACAGAGTAAATAAACTGACTTTATGATGCACCTTATCAGCGGTACTAAACATATTGACAACTTAATTTTACAGTCAATAGTAAAATGTATTGTACAGTATATCTTTCATGGGCAACTATGAAGATCCTGATCTTCATGCTATCTTCACATACCTACGTAAATGCTAAATATAAACACTGCACATTTCAATACTTTTTATATTGCACGCTGGTGTGAATGCTATGATTAAATTAATTAAGAAAAGGAGAGAACTCAAATAAACGATGAAAATTATCGGCAATCATTTGGTCCATCGATTGCGACTATGCCGATTGCTCTAAAGAAGAAAACAAATGGGTTTTAACTGAGTATGTGCATGAATGTGATGTCATGGAAACGGAAATCGGCTAGCCATCTATACTTGAATAAAAGTTTTAATAACATGAAAGCAATAAAATTCATTACACTGAGCCCAACGTTAATGTTTGTGTCCATAAATTTATGATTTTATTATTCAAAAATGAAAAAAATGCGTTTCATTTCTTTATTAACAAGAGTTCTTCTGCTGAACGAGAATAATCGCCTGGAGTTTATAAAAGGGATAGGTAACTTGTGATGTGATCAGTTTTGCTCTTCGATTTGCTACGAAAGGATATCCAAAAACGAATTTTATATGTTTTCAAGCGTAAAGTTTTTTTGAAAAAATGTGGCAAACACTTATTTTACTGGTGTCTTTCATTTTCGTGTCAGCATTTGGAGCTCCTCAGCTTGATGCATACTATGCACCTCAAACTATACAAACGATAGGCCCGTACGGTTTTGAAACATTAAATACTATTTTGTGATTTCATTTTAAGATGCTAGATTGTTAGGAAAATAATTGATTCTATTCTACTCTTTTCCAGTTCGACTCAATATGTTTTGTTGTACCCGCAATATCGATATGTAGTGCCTCGAGACGGTGAAGCTGGAGAATTCGGCAATGATTTCTGGCAATCTTTGACCAATTACTTCAGTAGTTGTGGTGATGGCGGCGGTGGCGGCGCATATTTCCGTAGAATAATTCCACCGACAATCGAAACGAAAATCCCCGAAGGAGACACAGAAAAGCAAGGTGAAGCCGAAAAAGAAATCGGAATCGATCGAAAACCATCGAAACCATTTTATTATGTATTGCCACCGTCTCCTGGATTTAATTACTATTTTCCGCAACCGAATCTCTTCAATCAACCAATTATTGAGTCGAAATACATTGCATCCAGTTCGTTTCGAATGCCAAACGCAAAATCAATCAACGTTCAAGTGGTTTCGAAGAATGGCGAAAAAAACACGAATAATCCTTCAAATATAGAAATCAGCAATGGACATGCTAATGAGAAGAACGTCAATTAGGAAAACAAAAAAACAAACAAACAAAAAAGCATTTTGATTAAGAAGTTTATTGAAAATATAAAAAAATCAAAAAAATAAATAAATATTTAAATCTTAGCATTCGATTTAATGAAATGAAATACAAAATTGGTTAGCCTTGAGTTTCTTATCACGTCGAGTAAATTTCAATAATTTTAGTGTGTATCTTGTGAGCGAAGAAAAAAAATGAAATTAAATAAATAAATATTCACAATGATATGTATGTGTGAGTCTTTTTTTTCATACAGTAATGAAGTCGCCATTTTCAGTTGATTCAGTGTTCTTATTATCGTCGTAGTCGTAAGTCAAATCGGTTGTGGTGTCATAAAAGTCAGTGGTGGATGCATCAGTGATGTCTTCTTCTTCGACCGGATCATGGTCAATTGGGTCAGTTTGAGCTGGTCCGCTTGTATCATGCAGATGGTATGTTGGATTGATTATCGCTAATGGTGCCGGTCGACTAAGATCATGATATTTATATGTTGAGTAATACGATTGAATTCGTTGCACAAAATTTTCTAAAAATGTTGGAAATCGCGATACAGAACCAATAGCCCAAATTCGTAACGGCACTTTTTGTGCGATTACTATGGCATTTTGTGGCTGAAAAGTTGCAAACCAATTTGCTGGCACTGCCATAAATGGTATGGTATATTGACGAGCTTGCTCCGATGATGGCGAAGATTCACTTTTCGGTACATCTGTAACAGTTTTTACACTTTTTACATTGGTTGCGTCGGTGCTTCTAAATACCGGTTTCTCTATCTCGTTTTTCACATTGACACTGACTATTGTCGAGTTCAAGGTTTCTAATTGTGCACTCGGTTTATTCGCCGCCAACTGATCTGCTGCATTATTTGGCCGTGGATACAAATGCACTGGACTCACAAATAGCAAACAGATCACGAATGGAAGCAATCGCAAGTTATTCATGTGGAAAAAACGAAAATTGAACCACTTTTTTTGATGCGATAACATTTTGATAAAGTTTTGTTTATATTTTTTAAAGGGATTCTATCACTTCCACATGGAGAATACTAAACTCTGTTTTTTTTTGTTGAAAAAATTTACAATTTCTTGGATTTTGTTAAACAAAATTCCGCATAAACCTCCTGAATTGCTTCACGAATAACCAACTAAAACATAATGAAGTAACGTGGTTGGCTTTCTTCAGAAATTATGTCGACGCATCTGATAAGAGTGTCACACTCCATTGAAGCATTTTACCACCACTTTGTGTTTTGTTTCTTGCAAAATGCAAAATACTTTGCAGCAAAACAATGGTGAGACGAAACACGTCAAAGAAATGCCGAAGAAATGGTTTTCTTTTAATTGGTTTGGTCGATGTGTACGTGTGTCTGTGCGTCCGTGTGTCCGTGTGTGCTTGTCACACTCATTATAAGTAAAGCCATGTGTTACAAACGAAGCGATGTATTCGGTATATGCGACAATAACGGTACGGTTATTGTTCATTTCGAGTGAAAGTCAATTCACTAATGAATCATACTGAGCGGTATTGTATTGTTGCTGGGCCATTTTCGATGATTATACGGTTCGTTTTTTAAACCAGTTTATTGTAATTGGTTATTGTTCTGTTGCCACTGGTTTACGATTCAAACGACTTCACCGTGTTAAAGAGATTATAATGCAGTGGATAAAACGATGAAAGCGAATTTGATTTATTGTGTAATTTCATAGAAAATGAAATGAGAAAAAACGTGTATGATTAACCATAGAAACCCGTTCGTTTTGTCATGATTTATGGTGATGTTTTGAATTGAATAATTTAATTATTCAATGCACTTGATGATAAGTAATTAAAAAAGTAAGGTAACGGTGTACTGAACTTCCATATGGAGCAATGGTGCAATTGGATTTCATGCCAAATCAACTGGATTATTTGATTGAAAAAAAGATAATATTCGAAAAAAAAGGAACATTTAATGAAAAAGTATGAAAAAGGGTGAAGAAATGCAAAAATCCATCAAAATCTACGCATGGAAATGCATTATGTGCCGAAAGCAATGGGAAAAAATCAAAAAAATCACTGTTACTATTGAAATAACATCGATTAGACATAAAAAATAATTATCTGACAAAAATTGAAAAATAAATAAATCTCTGAAAATCGAGAATCAAGTGGAAAAAAACGAAAAATGAACGAATTTCATTGAAACAATCAAAGTTCCCGCTGCCGAGTTGTGCGGTAGCATATGTTTGAGATTCTATTTTGGTTTGTTGGTAGCTCGCATTGCTGTCAGTGCTAACACTGTAAATGTCATAAGTTGACATAACCTCAAAATCGAATGCTATCAAAAAAATTGTGCTCAGTGAAGCAATTTTCGGAAATTTTGTTTTGAAATGGCATTGAACCTAGTATCGAGGCTATTTTCAAATGTGCGGTAAGTGTAAACTTCCCTTGAATTACAAAATAAACATGTGCATCACGCTGAAAGTATTTTCATTTCCAGTGCATTTGCATCGCCGATTGAAAGTATACAATCAATTGCTCGTTTCCATTCGATGGTGCCAGGAACATCAACACAACCAGCGGCTGGTGGAGCATGGAGTTTAATATCGGTGCGCACGAATATTCGAAATCATTTCCCACGACCTCGCGAATCTAAGCGTGTACTCACCCATGGTTTTCACAAGAGAATGTCTACTCGTGGCGGCCGATTGATTCTTATGCGACGCATTCTGAAGGGCAAACACGTTCTATCGCATTAAACTCAAGCATATTTAGAAAATTCAATCCAAGTCACTGTTAGTTTTCTTTTGCTGTATAAATAAATTTAGTTTGATGAATAAAAGTGAGAAGTATGAAGTTTCATTCATTGATAGAGTTTTGGGACGAAACGTTGATCGAAGTAAAGGTTGATGAGGTTTGTTGTTTTCGCAACCAATTGTGAACAAAAGTCAAAATAATGTTGATGGCTGAAAAATGAACTTGTGCCATGGAATAAAACAAAAATTCTCTTCTTTTTTGCCGTAGCAAAAATGGTCATCGTTTATTGTTGTTAATTTAATCTTTTCTCGCTTTTTCTTTAATTTGCAATAAAAAGGTACTGCACTCAGTACTGAAAATTCCTGTTTGATTTCATTCTTTTGATTCACTTCGTTTTGGCGTTTGGTTTTACCGAAAAATTGCAAGCCAATCGTTTTGGTAATGGTGTATCGCTTGGTTTGGGCGCATCTTTTTTGTTATCTTTCGATTGTTTTTCCGCTGATTTCTTCTCGGCTGATTTGTTCGGTTTGGCTGGCGTTGATTTTGCTGGAACCGTATTGGTTTCGGGTTGTTGTGCTTCTGATTTCTGTAAAAGACACAAAAATAAGTTAAACTTAATTCAATGCTATATTTCCAAAATCATCAAGATACATTAAATTGAAGTTTCAATTACCTGGGCCGGTTGAGGTTCCTCTTCCTTGGAATTGTCCAAATTTGCATCCTTTTTCGCTGAATCGTTGCTTACATTAGGTTTTCCTAATTTGACACTTTTTCGAGCTGCCTGTAACGGGATGAATGCGCTACTTGTACCGTTTTTGGGTTTTAATTTTTGTGGTCCTTCTGGTGAATTATGCATGACATAATGTGGATGTGATTGTCTATTTACGTCGAATTGATGCTGAGGTGGCGGCCCTGACATTCGGATGTGTTGCGGTTGCACATGGATGAATGGCTGTGGGCCGGGAATAACGGGATACATCGGAAAATCGTGTCCCATGTACAACGGTTGTCGATACATATGCAGTGGCATGGCTTGCGGTGAAAATTGCATCATGTTCATTGGAGGTAGCATAGGTGGATGTGGCGGCGGCGCTGGATAAAATGGCTGGTGATGCATTTGTAGTCCAACATTCATGGGCATATTTGGTGGAAACGACGGATGTTGCTGTTGCTGATGTGGTATTTGCGATTGAGGTAGATTTTTTGGCAATACTTGTTGTGGTACGTTGTTCACCTCCTTGTTCTTTGACTGCTGCTGCCAAGCTGTGGGTGGCTTTGGTAAGCTTGACAACAACGGCAACCCATTGCTCATATCATTCACATTGTTTTCAGTCTTTCCAAACAATGAATTCAAATCGATGCGCTGCGAATCGTTCTTCAACAGTTTATTTACAGTGGCTGGTTGGCTTTGATCTAAGCCGAGGATTTTCTTGAGTACATCTTCTTCGGTTGGCACAGAGCGAAGTTGTCGCTCTCTCTGGTTTACCTTATCGGCCAAATTAACCAGTTCGAATGCTTTAGTTGGAGGCTCAGGTAGGCTTGGTTCATTTGCTGTAGCCACTTCTTCGCTACGTTCAGCCGGTTTTCTTTCAAGTACTCTCCAAGCGGTGGGCGGTTCAATTTGTTTCGACTTAGCTTCATTCGCAACCACGTTTTCTTTACGTTCAGTTGGTTTTCGTTCGGGCATTCTCCAGGCGTTTGGAGGTGGTTGCTCATTGACGACACCGTTTCTTTGACGCGGCCCGTTTCCATTCATGCGTTGATTGTACTGCTCTTTGAATGGGCGACCTAAGTGGTAAACGTAATAAATTGAATTCAATGATATATTTTATGACAACCTTTCAAAATTTTACTTGTCAAAGAAAGTTCTCGCCAAGAAACTTACCTAATCCATGTGTGATGTTGATCAACACCGATTTGCGTACTCGGAAAATACGTTTTTCAGCCACGCCAGGAATCGATGTGCCCAGTTCGAATGGTTTGTCGAACAAAACTTCATAAATATACTCGACAACATTGATATTCTCTTGACGGATTGGATTTGGATCGGTTCTGGGCAAAATGGCAATGATTGTTCCACACGTTCCCAATGGCACTGAATATTGATCACGAGCAATGACAACGCGATCGAATAGCTCAAATGTAGCCGTCGGATCGGGCACCACATTAATATCATTCAAATTTGGCTTATACAAAAGATGCGGTCTCACTTGCAGAGTCACTTTTCGGATTGGTTCATTCTAAACGACAAAAAAGGGAATTATAATTCTGGGATTCGAATGATAGAATTCATTCATTAGGTAGGTACCTGAAGATATTCGATTGTTTTCGCAACTTGTCCAGCTAAGGGAATTGAAAGACATTCGGTACCGCATGGCTGGCGAGCAATCGATCTGCATGGCAAGTCTTTGAGCCATTTTTGGATTTGCTTCAAAACACCCTCATCATCCTCCTATTAAACGGTAATATTAATTATTGTTTTTACTCTTTATTAGATTCGTTTTTGATTTATTACCAACTTCTATTCATCATTTATGCATCGATTTAATCGCAAATCATTCCAAATCTTACGACTTGGTATAAAATCTTACCTTTTGTCCCATATTCAACTCGTCTTCAAACAATGGATCGGTGTGTGCGTTACTCTGTTTATTCATCAATTGGAATAGTCGTGGGAATTTCTCGGCATACGTGTGCACCACATTGATGGCTTCTTGAGAGTAAAGCCATTGATTGTTGATACTCTTCGTGTAACCGGGTACTTCTTCATTCTAAGGGAGTAAAATTAAATCATTCGATGAACTCTTGACTTATCGCTAAAAACAAAAACTACCTGTTTGAGTTGTTTTAGCTGAAGTCCAATGTTGAACTTCCTATCGGAATCCGAAATTGGGTACCGTTTTTGTCCGGCGTATACAAAAACAACGCCGGTGATGCGATTGAACATGTGTGACGTCATGCCAATTTGCGAGCTAGCTGTAAATGAATTCATATAACCGCACAACTCTTCTTGATGAGACTGTTTTGCCTCGCTAAAGTCAGGCGTTGGATGTGCAGTGGTCGACACTATCGAAAGAAAAATGATTGCGAAATTCAAAAAGTCAATGATAAAATAAAAAAAGTGAGAGAAGATAAAAAATAAGACGAAATGAATTGATCATTTCTCCAAAATCAAAAATTCTATTTTTCCATGATTTTTTACGTGCAAAATGTGAATACGTACATTTGATTCGCCCATTGTAGAACTTTGAGTCAGAAATTGTAGCCTCACATCCATAATAGCCTTTGTTCATCAAGAAAACGGTTGATCCCATTGTGAAAACATCTTCAACCTTTTTGAAGCTCTCCATGTCCTTGGCAAATACAACCAAATTTTGTACAACTGTTATTGGAGCCACGGGCAATGCAATTTTCGACCAACTTTTCGACAGAGTGAGTCTGCCATCGCCAGTGTTCAAGTATTCGCGGTTCATTAATGGATACACGTGCAGCAGCTGATTCACTTCACCTAAATCAACACCAAGCCGGGTCATATGATGGCCCTCAACAAATTTTGCGAGCATTTTAAATTCGCCGTTGCCATTGCTGCTATCGAATTTCTCGATGCCAGTTTCTTCAATTTTCACTTTAGCATCACTAACCGCAAAGCACCTGGCTTCTCTCAGATGAGGCCAACCGACATAAATTTCCTTATTGATAAATTGTTGAGCTAGTGTTTCTATATCAACATTCGGTGGAGTTTCATCAATTTTGATGATCATCGATTCGCTACGCGTTGGCAGATGGAACACTTTGACACGCTTCATTTCCAATTTGCCTGAGTGTTTTAAATGTCTCATGGTGGGAAAACCGGGGAAATAAGCCTCTTTTTGTGCGCCTGCACACGGTCCCAACACCAATTGATCGGCAGGTACAATGATTTCGGATCGATCGATTTTGGTTTCCTTACAAAATACGTGACCAATCATTTGTTGACCGAAGCATTCATCCAACGAACCATAGTCGGTTGGAGAGTAGTCATACTGTAGCATCGGTCCATGCTTATTGCGACCACGTTCGCTATCGGTGAGCTTATCGTTGCAATCATTCATTGCGTCTTTCAGTCGTAGCTCATTAATGAATGGGATTAAAACCAATGCCTCCCATTCTTGTTTCTTTCCATTTAAATCCGTTTCAAAATCAACGGGATAGTAATCGATGATCTTACTGGATGGATCAGTCATTAATTTATGGTATGCATTTGGCAACAACTCTTTACTGGCCGCTGGTAATACGGACAACAATTGTTCAAAGGGCAAAAATGGTTTGCCCAAACTGAAATTCAGCTCAAGATTCGCGAATTTCGAAATGTCCGACATGTACGGAGCATAGTGATGTGGATAATACCATGACCAAGAGCATACGCCACGATAATAATAGTATAATGTCCATTGTAATGCTGTGATGTAGCACTTTGTCTGCTCAGCCAAGACATCCCTGTTTTAAAAGAATCTCGATTAGGTCAACTCATTTTTCGACAATTTAATCTTAGGATTTTTTTTTTCAAATAATTTTCAAATCTACTTACTTAGTCATTTCCGGATACTTGAGTTTATTTATATAATAATCGCGTTTGTGCAATGCAAATTCCTTTTCGAATAGTTCTTCGTCGGAGAGTTCCTCCTCTTCTTCACAATCCTTGAAAACTTCCTTCGGATCTTGACCGCCAAACATAAATTCATCATCACTGCCACAAAGAGATTCGGAGCTACTTTTATCCGAACCGAAGTCAAGATTCTGTAAAATGAAAAAAAAACCATTGAAAAATTTCGAATTTTCTGATTTAGTTTCAAAAATTCAATTTTTTTCTGCTTACGGTCTTCTTAATCAGGTCATCTAAATCAGACTTGGTTTCTGCGGTTATTTCAACGAAATCGTTGCCGAATGTTTCATTGTTATTTTGTTTGGATTCCATATATTTCAGGTCTTCATATTTGTCACGGAATAGATCACGATCAATACTGCTCATTCCACCCATGAACACCTCAAATCGTTTCAAATTCAATTTACCCGCTTCATTCATATAACCTATACCCAGCAATGGATGTTTTTGATTTAATCAAATCATTGCAAATTAATTGAAATATTAATTTTTCGGACCATTATCTTCAATAGAGTTTACTAACCATCCAATTGTGGCAATACTGATTTGTATACTTTGTATAGGATTGGCAGAGCATTTGAGTTGATATGTAGATTTGGTAAATTTGGTAAGAAATCATTGCCGACCATAAAACACATAAAAATCCAGTCGTCGATAATTTTTTCCAAATCATATTCAAACTTTAGCGCTGGCTTCAGTTCGATAAATTCCAATTCGAGATAATCACGCAGCAATCCCAAGTGAAGCAAATAGAATTTCGTTTCGTCAACCGATGGCGCGCGCTTTGCATTCTTATCAAACTTAACCTACAACGAATGCGTCAAATTGTAATTACATCACATTCGTAAATAACAACGTCAAGAGTGTATAGATAAAATCGAACTCAATGTACCTCTTCACGTAACAATGCGAAATTCAATTCGTGTGTACACAGTCCTAGCATAATCAAATCAGCATCCAACCCATATAAACAATGCCGTGTGTTTGAATCATAGCTTGGTTGTGCCTTCAAATAACGAATATACTCCATGATTTTGTGCTCTCCTTCGCCCGGAGTCTGAAATTCAATGGAAAAGAATCGTTTGTTGATAAATACATTTGTGCATCGCCAGCACTGTGAAAAAATATTAAAACGCAACAATCTCAATGGAAGTTGTTGATTGTTTACATTATAAAAAAAATGCATCGTGTCATATACATATAACATGTATTTCGTATGGCGACTTGAATAATTTTAAAATGTCGACGGTGTGCTATGTCACCGAATGAGAATGCATGCGATTGGCTTATTATTCATGATACTGGACGCTTTTATCGGACAAACCGCTCGACACCGTTCTATTTTTGGAACGCTCCAGATCACGTATACTCATATAAATCGCTTCAAAAGATATAAATTTTGACAAAATTTAAGTTTCCCTAGCACCTACCTCATGCCCACTTAAAATGACACGACAATGTTGCCATGCTGGATCGGTGGACAATTTCAACTTGACAAAATGCTTGAACGCCTGTTGAAGTCGCTCCATAAATACCGTGCCGGGTGTAATACAATTGCTATCAAAACGACTTTCGTCGGGCAATTTTTCGTTTGCTTTCTTTGCCTTTTCAATTAGTTCTTGCGCAGTTCTGGCCGATTGAAATCTGTGCCCAGATCAAAGTAAAAATGACAACGAAAAAATGATTGAATTTGTCCTTGAGCACATAGAATATATTTGATTTGTCCTTATCAATAAGTAGGTCTATTTACCTTCGGCTCCGTTGTTGATTCATTTTGGCACGTGGTGCAACGCCATCAACAGCCATGAAAAAGAGTTTACGTGGTTGAATCATGTGGAACAATGTATCAATATAGTGTAGAATGTCCCGGAACATTTGCTCTTCACTCATGCGGAAATGAATATTCGAATCGTCGGGATGCGAGCAAACGTGAATAATGCCATTCATATCCAAATACATGTTGTCAAATTGTGGTAGCTAAATTCCATGAAGAAAAAAACCATTGTTTTTAAAATCAATATCAATATGTTATCATCATCAATGACACACACTTTGTGTACGCTATTTCACCACGAGGCCAATGACTTAAATTGCCATCAAACCGTATTTCAATTGTAAATTTCGTGAATAATGTCAATAATTACCTCAGCCGATCCCACTAATTCACTTAAATTTGGGTATCTTTCGCTGATATAGCGAAAAAATTTAGGAACACCCATGTTGATTGTGTTATTCTGCACAAACGCCACGGGAACACAGAATGAGAAAAAAAAACCAACCGTCCAAAAGACGCCGCTTCAATTAATACAACCTAAACCTTTTTCTTTAAAAATAAAAACAATTCTTAAAAAACAACAAGTTTGTCTTAGACGCTAGTCTATTTTGTCAGGTAAAATTGTAATGCTTTAAATAGTGTAAATTAGCTCGTCTACATATAATCACAGTGCAAGAAGAAAAATAAACTTTGCTTATTTCATACACAGTAGCTTGATTCACACAGCTTATATCAGTGAAAAATGCTGAAAAAAGTAGCAAACTGTCACTTTGCAATAGGTACCAACACTAATACCAATACACAAGTCGTGCCAATACACAATGATTGTGCACACGGGTGTCTGTACTAAAAAAAACGAGCACTTTGACAGCTCTCAATTGTTTGATTATACTCGTTTGTTGTTGTTTTTTTTTCTTTTTAAACATTTTTTCTTTATTTTTCAAAAACAAAATAGTCATTCATTCTACACCTTTTTTTAAAATATTAATCATAATTTGAAATAATGAGATAAGATTGCAAAGCAACACTGAACGATCCGATGTTAAGCAGAAAGATGAATCGGTCGTTTGTTTGTGGTATAATTGTTGCATCGACCACTTGGTGTTTCAGTTTGTATTTATATTGGCTGCTTACGAAAAATTCATCGGAAGTTTCACGCAGCAATTT